GTGGCTTCCTGTGACATGAAAAGGCAAACATTGCACCCCTCCCATCTAAGGAGACCCTCCACTGGGGCGAAGTGCCCGTCTCATCCCGTTCCATCCCATCCTGCAGGCAGACACTCTTGAGCTGCCACTTTCCCCAGCAGCACACCAACCCATCAGATACCACCCATCTTTTAAATCATCCTTGCATGTAAACCATATTTGAAGGCTGAAAAAAAATCTGAAATATAATAATTGAAGGAAACATAATATTTGTATCAAAAAACCTGAAAATTTTGAAATACACCTCCCACGTGAAGCAGGATAGAACAGGGACCACCTGGGAGGCTGCTCATGAATATTCAGGCTGAGCAGACATCAGCCACCTCCTTGTTTCACAGCTAATGAGTCCATAATGAGCTAACACCTAGTAACAGCAGCTTAACCACCATACCAATTAGCTTGGCCTCCTTCAGACCCTGTAGTTTTCTGAACAGGAAACAAAGCCACAAAGATCACAACATATGCACACTAGGAAAGAACAAAGCTGCAAATGACTGAGAACAGACCTCCCACATGTGGTGCTAGACCACGAAGGGCAGACTTAAGGGAAGACCCCATTGTGCATGAACTTTTCCTTCAGAACCACTTACTGTGCATGCAAGGAAGTCAAAAGAGCCTGCTCAAGCAAAAAGGCACCTAAACCACTTTTTTCCTCCCCCATTCCTTGATTATTCCCCCCCAACTAAGGTAGAGACCCCCCTCCCATAGAAATCAAGATATAAGCCTTCTCACTAAAAACCTACAGGGTGCTCCTCAAGGAGCCTGTGCACTCTTCTGTGTGTACTTTCACTTTGCAATAAACTTTGAATGTGAGTTCAACACTGCTGCATGGACTTGGAGTTACTGTGGGTTCTCCAAAGGATTCCTCCCTCAGGAAATCCAAGAAACTACATCTCTGGCATCACATGTATGAACCTCCACCCAACCAAGCATCTCCAGCCATGACATCCTTCTCTCCTAGGTGAGGGAAGGGGAGGCTTAGATACTTTAGGATGGAGAACCCCTTGCTCCCACATTGTTTAAATACATGAAATTGGAGATTCATACATTCCCATCATTCCGGGTGTGCTCCACAAGATTGTGGAAGTCATAAAAGCTCATAAGACCCACTGACTTCTGATTTGTACAAAAGCTTAATAAATGACTATTTTTACAAAAAAAAAACCCTCTAGCTACCACCTCGGTTCTCTGCACCCCTTTACTGCAACTCCCCTTTACTGTTCTCCCTCCCTGTCTCTGGAGCCTCTTCCCATCCTCTAAACCCATCCCCATTGGCTTCACTTCTCTCACAAAACAGCTCTCGTCAGGGCCACCATGCCATTGGCCAATTCTCAGTCTTCTTCCTACTGTTAGGAAACATCTTCCCCGGATTTCTCGGATTCCTGCTCGTCTCAATCCTCTGAGAACTCACAGCAAGCTTTAGAATGTTCACATCAGGAGACACCCCAGGACACAGAAACTGGAGATGTCTCCCTCCCTGGATGTGTCCCAGGGTAGTAGAGATAAAGCCCTCCCCTTCCTTTCCTGGCAGACACTTTTTTTTTTTGCATTCCAGGGTAACAAGTCACCCACTGTCTCTGGAGGACAGTGTGGGCAGATGTGCTAGCAGCTCCATAAAAGCTTAGCATCTCCAAGATGTGGGGTTTTTCTCTTGGGCTGTGAAGCACTGCACACAGTTAACATCTGGCTCCCACTGCCTCACTCTGGATGCTGGGGCACGGGCAACTGATAAGAGACACTGCTCCATTTGCTGTGATAAGTAGTCTTTGTCTCTGACCCGTGGGTCTTGTATCTTCTGTCTATATCTGGCCAGTAGGCTGACTTGCAAGTTTGCAAGCAGGGTAAAATCTCAGGTCCTTCATGGTTCTTCATTCAAAATTCTGGTGACAGGGTGACAGGGAAGGGGGACTGTCAGAGATGTGGCCTTCTGGAAGGAAGATAAGGAGGCAGCCCTGTGGACCTCTTCCACCGCTTTGCTGTTATGAGGAGAAGCTGGGCAGGTGGTTGCAGTCTGAGTGCTGAGAAGTGGGCTCAGAGTCAGACACCTGGATTGTGGTTTGGTTCATTTTCTCTGAATCCCTGCCAGGGACTTTGCTGGTTCAGCCTCAGTTCAGCCCCCTTCACAACAAATACTAGAACTGGTGCTGGATCCGAGTGAGGTTCCAGCCCTCTCCAAACCACAGAAATGCACGCCTGCACTGAGTGCAAGGGAGGACCACTGCCAGCCATGATGGGCAGAAGGCAGAATCAGGGCTCAGTCACTTGGGGGCTGCTTGGAAGGTGGGAGGAATGGACTCAGAACCCATGTTAAGGAGGAACAGCCGCACTCGTGCATCTTATGGAGCAGCATCCAGCACCTATCATGACAGCCTTCCATTCTGGAGATGACAGTTCAGGTTCTGAGTATTTGTGGGGGCACCAGCTTGGACGACTTCCCTGAGATGGACAAACTCCCCCGAGGTGAACTGCAGAGGACATACCAGCTAGCATGTGGGCTCTTGGTACCCTGGATGGCATCTGTAACACCAACACAGGAAACACACCGGAGAAGGAGAAGGTGACCCAGAGGGATTTAGATGTGTTCTTACAGTCAGCCCTGCCTTCTTGGAAACCTCTCTTAGACCTTATGGGAGAACCCAGTGACAGTTGAGAGATGTGATCATGGCACTGGGACAGCAGATGCCCCACGTCAAGTGTCTTCCATCAAAAAGGTCACCATTGTGCAAGAACCCAAGCCAACTGAGGGCACAGAGCCGACAGACCCCCCAG